GTAATTTTCTATGTTCGATGTTTCGTTTCACCCTCACAACCATCCTTTTACTCTGGTCAAGGTTGTATAGGAAGCTATTATTGTTCTGAGTTTGTTTCGGTTGTCTGCTTGACGCATTTCTGTTACTTGATATGATTCTTGCAGAAAGACACTTTTGGTCCTTTTGTTAGGAATACTTCTAATTTGTGGTGTTTATATGCCTTCCTAATTACTCGATTCCTTTTGCCAAATAAGTTGATATTTTTATCAAAGGGGTTATTGTTGACTGTATAATATCAAGGTGGTGAGTTTTTGTTATTGATTATATCATGACCAAATAGTACTATAGATGTGACATATATGTATAGCCAAATCAATTAATTTGTTATCCTTGGAACATATTTTGGCTACACGTAACTCAACGAAGCTAAGTGTATCATACAGAAGGGACACGGTCGCATCCCCCTGGTCGGGTGAAAACATGTTCTGGATTATACGCTGCTTTCTGACTACTTCAAACATATTTCGGTCGTATCAGGTAGTATTCAAGTACTCGATTTCTGGTGGTGTCATGCGTGCATACTGTTTTCTCGAATGATTTCTGACCATTTTTGCCCCTATGACGTTTACCACCTCTCATGAGTCAATTCTCAACTCCACTGAATTTCATTTTAGACAATACAAGAACAGTGACATTTACAGAATAAGATGAGCTCATTATGTTTCATGGTCTTTCATTAGCCGCAATTAGCCTACAATTAAAATAAAGTAGTAGTAACAGCACAACATACTTCATATACGTAGAGATACGTGAAGATTTCAAATTCAGAATGAACAATAGAGTGTTGAGTAGAGTAAACACAAATCATGGTCAAAACCAATGGCAGTTTATATTTGATGAGGAGGAAACTTCTGGAGCGATAGAAGGAGGGGGATACCAAACATACAGAGGTGTTAAAGAAGGGGTTGTTAAGGACTTAGCAGGCTACGCAGTTACGTGGAAAACTGGAAAATTACCAATTGATTAACAGTCAGTAAGTTATTAATGAATAGATGATGCAATCTAAAAATGCAAATAAATATCTAACTTATGTCACCTTTAACTGTGTACATCATTTCACCTGACCTCATGGAAGCAAGTATATGGGACGGACCTAAAGAAGGGTGTCTACTTGATTTTGTGAGCATATTTCGAGAAATCTGTACCTGAAAAATCAAGGTCTTTACCAGTGCGGTTGCTAGGTCAGTGTTTGAGACAGGAAATCAAATATGTTTTTCAATCCTTTAGGATTAAAAACAAACAAGAAACGGCATTTTCATTACAGTTTTTCGAAACTTTCCCCAGTAACCATCTTCAGTATGGTTTATTTACTCAGAAAGAGACTGTGATTAACCTTCCTTCACCTCGGTAGCTGTAGATGATTTTTTTCATATGTATGTATATAGTTTTCCTTTTCTGATCACATCATATCTTCATTAATTACCTAATGATTGTTAATCACCCAAGTCAACGTTTTCCAGCTTTTTCATGTAAATACGTAACCAATCAACTCTTTAATAACCTCTCCCTTTACACCCCGTTTGTTTGTTGGCCGCTTCTTTCTGTAGCTCCAGGATTTTTCATCTCATCAGATATCAATTACTATTGATTTTGAATGAGATTTTTGAGCAATAATCCTGTTTCCTCCACTCACTACCCTACTGTTTATTCTGGATTTCAAATCTTCATTTATTTCTACGCATATAAAGTATGTGATTCCATTAAAACTGTGGATACTTTATTTTAATTGTAGTCTGTTTGCAGCTGATTAAAGGCCGTGAAATAAAATGAGCTCATTTCATTGTGCAAATGTCTCTGTTCTTGCACTGTTCAAATTTGTCAAGCGAACTAAGTGTATGATAATTCCTTCTTGATTGGTTGTCTTTGATTAATTATCTAACCGCCTGCAATCTCATATAATATTTCCACTCATTATAGACCAGTGCTTTATTACTTAATGTTTTTCTCCTACACAATAGCCTCTAAAAACATTTCTTGTATTATGGATAGCTTTTTACGCATTTAAAGTTAGCTGAATAACACTGTTACTAGAAGAGATTTATCAGCTTTACTTATTTTCCCTAGCAAAGTGATTTGAAAGATTAACTAAGTGTATAACTAAAAAATTTGTAGGGAATCGGTGTACAATGGAACTGACAATGCAGGCAGTAACGATCAGCTGCAGTTATATATTTTTTCAGTATAGACAAAATACAATTTCAATACAGACAACTTACCATTTACGTCATTACAAAACAGGTAATAAAATGTATTGGGTTGTATGGTTAAAAATAAACTTTCATTCCTCCATTAATTCTCAAAGTTATGTTGTTCTATATGTCAAAATCTTAGGAAGCTGTACAGAGACTATATCCTTTCTTTCTCTGTATACACGTTCACTGACAGGCGTAATGATGTGCAATATGCGTAAACAGGGAATAAACGACATGTCAACCATAAGATAAATCTTGGTAAACCTAAGCCGAATAACTTATTTGCATACATTTATCACGCATACCTTTTAGAATTCTTCTTCAGACATAGTATAAGCTGTGTGCTGTTGTGTTTTTCAATTACATTTAACTGATCAAATCAGTCAAACGACAGGTCTGACTTATATTAAGACAGGTTGTCTCGTTTACATTGTTGCTACTGTCTGTAATTACCATAAAATTGAAACCATAGGCAATATCCAGTCATTTCAACAGAAAGCCGTATGCTAACAGAGACCGATGGATTCGGTCCAATCAACAAAGAGGGTATACAAGCGACATAATAAATACTATACTCGTTGCACGAAAAGTGGCCATCGTTACTGCTTGGCCCAGTGGATGACATCCCGATGTCTGAAAGAACCGGTGCAAGGTTTGAGCCCTCGTGGATACAACACCACTCACTAAGAGGCTGAAGAATCCAGAACAGGAATAAAACGCTCATTCTGCATTTCACTACTGGACTCTACCCAAGATAACTATAAGAATCTGGCATTTGTTTCAGTATTTGTGTCCTTCACATTTACTGTCAAAAAATTTATGTCTGAAACAAGTATTTGACATTTTTTCTCGCTGTTTATCAGTTCCTAGCTTCATGTCTTCATCATATCCCACCCAGGGATGTAAGAGATAACACTGTTTCACTTGAATAGTTTTACAGATTACTTGATTATATGCATAACATTAGGATGAAAAAAAATGACATGCGTGTAATAAGATTAAACATGGTTTATCCTCGTATTCTTCTACTAGATCATTATTATCTAAATTCAAGATGAGTTGTTACTATTCACTGTAAATTACTTACTTTGGTGCGTGATACTTCAGATCTTGTTTTGACTAATGAATTTGTTACGTGTAGAAAGTGTTTCTTTCTGGTGACTCCACGAGCATATAATCTATTTTTCAGTGATACAAAGTTGCATTACAGTTAAATATTGACATGCTACAGTTTGATAATACTTTGATACTTTTGCCTTAAGATTGGCACTGCCATATTGTAATGAAAAGACATATCACGATATATCATAGTCTCGCGAAATACTGAAAATCTTACCCTAGTTCACGCTATTATCATAATTATTATCAGATTTCATCAGTGAAGATAAAATTCAATATTACTTTCCTTTTGATAAAGTGAACATTATAAAGACAAACAATTTCATGTACTTCAAGGAAGCGTAACCATTGCACATCTTATTGTGCTCCAAACCTCAATATTTTATTTGAATTGCGCTCATTTTAGTCTTCACTTTTTGTAAATTTATGGCGTTTCAAAGTTATGCAATCTATAAAAACCACCTCTCATCCATCTCTTAACCATCTCTTGAGTCTAGTCAACATAAAAGTCATGCTAATAGCCAATCTTTCTCTCACATTCTCAACTGTCTCCACCTTTTGTCTGCTTGCTAAGAGTATGTGTAGTCCTTGTTCTGCATACTTTTCGATATTACTTAGATTTTAAGCAGTTAGAAGGAATCTTCAAATTGATAAAAATGAGCTAGCGTTATCCTGTTATGGTTGTTTATTTATAGTGTCCAATTTAATAAATGGAAAGAGTTGTTTGAAGTCTTTAAAAAATCCTTTATTGTTAGCACCTACCACTAAATCCTCATAGATCACAGCATATCCTCTAACTGGTAAAAAGACAATTCTTGGGAAACGAGCGGCTACGGTTTATTATAGGTCACTTCATTTTGAATATAAAAACCAGTAATTGTGATGAGTTAATGAGAATCAATCTGTTCACCATGGTAGACAACACACTGTCCAAGTGGTGTCGTAGAAAACGCTTTGGCGTTTGAAGGGATGGGTACTGGCCTCGACTTTCAACGGGAACAAAATTAATCACTGGAGTGCAAATACATCCGTCTGATGAGTTTCAAAGGGGAGATGACGCGCGTTCTAGATTTCACTGCTGGCTACAATATAATGAGTAATCAGGCAGTAAGGAGGCATCCACATGAGGGTCAATCTGTCAACAGAGATCTACCAGTTCGACCCGGTGAAGCTACAGGAGATTAAAAATATCAAAACCAGTACTTCTGGTGAACTACAAACAATGTTCCTCAATCCATAGTCTAAGCATAAAATAACCCTGTTGTCTACCTGAATAAATAACTTCAAATTACAATGTGAATATTTTCGGAGTTCTTTTCACCTGTAATTTTTTGCTAAACAACTTATCACCATTGAAAACCATTTAGCATCGTACTATCTAACGCAAATTGGTGATAAAGGTTTAATAAAATTCATTAACTTAGGCGATCTAATATCATCATGGAGTCGGAAAAAACCTTTTGTTGGTTTTTCTGGTGATCACCTGGGGTCCCCTCAAATGGCTGCTTTGTCACAAAATAATTTGTTATCTGATTTACACATGCTCAGTCAACGTTGCAGTTGAAAACAGAATTCTACTTTATCCGATATTCACACTACTATATTCTGCATTTCATAGAAATTTTATGATGATTCTTTTTTCTTTCTAGATCATTTCCATCATCTACGAGCGTAAATACTTTAATCGGTAAAACAAACAGTTTCGCAGTTGCAAGTGATGTACCAAAGAGTCCAATGCTATGCCCATTCAAACTGCAATCATTATTATACGAAAGTAATAAAGACTCGAAAGAAGTACGCTTTATCTGTGCTACAAATAATGGTTTAGATGAGAATTCGCAAATTAATAACAGTGATAACTGCAGTAATATTGATACTACTTATAATCAGCAAGTAGTTAATGTGATTTCTAGAAAAAGTAGTTGTCAAACTGATAGTACTTCTAAAGATCAGTATGCTCATGATTCGTCTGAAAAACCAGTTTTCAGTGGAGCATGGCCAATTAATCCTTATTCACCTTTACCATCCCCGGATATTTATCCATTGGATATTGAATATAATGAAAGTAAGTGACGGATATATTTTTGACGAAATCACTTTTTCTTATTATTTGTCGATATACTTGTAACTCTCCGTTGTTATACTAACTCTAATTGATCGACGTACGTTGGTATATGGACTCATTTGCGGGTGAAGTGATATTGCTTAAATACATTTTGCTATGGTTTACTCGACTATGGGCAGCAGAGGAATACAAGATGCGCATTTCGTCCTGTTTTGGGCTGGTCCGCTGTATGTATCTGCACTCCAGCCAGTGGCATTGTCTCCCACTGAGACTTGAACCTCATACTCACTGCGTCAAGCACCAGAGCACTATCCACCAAACCACTGAGGCAAAATAGCCATCTCTTGTACAAAGGGTATTAGTTATTACTATTTTTTAGTATACTCGTAATTCTTCAGTTCTGTAATGAATCAAAGGATCGATTTTTGCAGGCACGGAGACTTCTATGTGGATGCATCGATGTTACCTAAATATTAATAACGATGATTTACATTTTTTATTGAAATCTATATGCATCATTTGAAGAATAGAGAACTTAGTGTGACTGTAGTTTTAAAAATGATATTGTTGATGAATGATAATCATGACAGTAAAGTGACTTAATCCAGGGAACTGGATACACTTTGAGCAAATAAAGTGGTAACTTGAATAAAAATGTTAAAACTAATGAGGCATAGTTAAGGGCCACAACCCGTCAATAAAGCTTTATTGCAAACGAAAGGATGTGTGCAGCGATATTGCAATTCCCTTCATTCCATTTTAACCTTTTAACCTTCACTTCATCGTTTAATCACAGGAAGCATACTTTCCAACAAGGCTAGAGATATCCTTCATAGATGAATGTTTTCAAGCATAAACTTTTATCAAGTAAAAATTCCTGCTTTTAACTAGCAACCTTCAACAAGTGTTATATATGTAAGAATTTCTGACTTATACCATTCACCAAGGAGACTTATAGAAATTAGAAATACTTATGCTGTGACAGCAATCTGGTTGAACGTAACTAATAAAATGGATGTATTTTAGTCAGACTAAATTCATAAACTATACTTTCTGTAAAATGGGATAAAAGGGGCATGAAATCGATTAGGTGAAATAACGAAAGACCTTAAAAATCCACTTCAGTAATTTCAGAAGCATTCCATACACCTTCTGTCAAGTTTTCCCAGGCACAAGAGCTTGCAAACAAATTCCTCACCTATACAAAATCTTCAAAGCAACAAATATTATTGTAACGTTTAAAGTTACCTTACAGAACACTAGAAACTTGTTTAAGTAGAAATAAAAATGGAAGACTTTAAAGACCACCTAACAACAACTGAAATAACCAATCAAGTTCCTCCATTTTGGCTGGAAAGGCAGATTCTATTAGTTGTTGCTAGGGTCACCTTCAAAGAAACCCATAAAAATCACTTCCAAATAGTTTAAAGAAGGAAAATAAATCATCGAAAACCGCACAATGTCCAGAGTATTTTGAAAGTCAACAGCCGTATTAGGTAACAGTTCATGAATATTCAGAGTTTCTGAAGTATATATATAACGTTATATATCTACCTAGTAGGAAGAGTAAAGTTAATCAAATATAGAATGATAGGACTTATCTGTACATTGTATTTACATTCGTCAAGCATAACGTTTCTCGATTTTTTTTACTAAACGAAAGCTTTTTAAAATAACAATTTACCCCCTAAATTGAAACATCATTTGAAATAAAATGATTTTGTGAATAATATTTAAAAAAATGCTTTTAAAGGGACCCAAAGTGAAATTAACTAAAAGTACAATATTTTGTCATTCATAATTTCTCAAGAGAAGCATAGAAGCTTCCATATCTCTCCACTTTATTGAACAAGCAAGGAATCCTATTAAATTTTCAAAAAGGTTTACACTCTTACATTTTAAACGCTTTTCAGTGGCTTAATAACAGTGAAGCGAATAGCCTGGTGTTCTAGAGAGTATTGAAAAGCCCAGTTGAACGTGTTTGACATACCATTTTAATTAATACCAGCCCTTTTCATTAACATATCCAAAGGATTTCAAAAACAATCGTAGTTGACTTCCAATTACAACTTCACTTCATTATGACTACTTCATATTACAGTCAAAAATACTTGAAATGATTCCGTTTTAGTATAATTTTGCGTAGTTTTGTGCCATTTAATACGCGTATTTAGTACACTGCCTTTTCCGTTGATGAGTAAAATCCCTTTGTAAGATGGCCTGACTAACCGGGGCTACATTCCGATGAACGTTAGGTAGTAGTGTGTATACGAGGCCTTGAGATAGCTAATGTCTCTGCTGCAGAAAATTCTAGCACTGTTGAAGAATATAATACTATTTTAAATCTTTTAATATATATATATATATTACACAGTAGTAATTACTATTTGCTGGGTGACTGGATGGCTTGTAATCATATCAACGCACTCATGCGACATTTTACTATAGTTTTGTACTTCCGCTACTTATCATCCTTTCATTCTGTTGGTCATAAAAATCTCCACATATCTACTCTCACTGTTGCATCACTCTTATAACAAGTGTTTGGTGTCGATTCCCTAAGCGATAAAGTTTGACTTGAAATAGAATGAACAATTTGCAAATGATTTGCAAATTGTATAGTCGACGCTGACATTTCTCACGACTGACTAGTTTTTTAACTGCCCAACTGTAATGTCAGCGGGACTTTTGACGGAAACCACTCAACCGGAATCGCAGGGTATGGTTTCGGAAACAAAACTACTCAAGTTGCTCAGTAGTAGTATCTTTCACCGTGTTACCTGATTTTTCTTACATTTGATAATTTTATGACATTTATTGTGTTTTCATGACAATTCATAACCTACCTGGAAACTGCACATAAAATAGCTCTTTTTGATTTATTGGTGCAGTGGCACGTCAAAGCTAACCAAATACATATCTATGGAGAAATTCCACAGTAGTATAATATATCTTACTTAGAGTAGTCCAATAAATGAAAATGAGTGTTAGCATTTAAAAGTTAGGTTGACTTGTTTACTCTTCTGATTCATAATTTTGTGAAATAATTCCTTCATTAAAAGCAATTTAAACACCGTTGAGAGTGAGACAGTCATTATAATATATCTTGAACTGAATCAAAAGAATTCAGTCAACATAGCTGAGTTTGTCACCTGAACTGCGCATTTAAAAAGATCCGCCTAGCTAGAGCTGTCAGTAGCATGTTTTATTCAAGTTATCTTTGGATATCTTTCAGTGGTCAGCCAATGTTGAATGCGAAACAGATGGATAACCTACCTTATCTTAGCTCTTCATCTTGTATTTATCACTTCAACTGTTCCTGTTTAACAACTTACATAGCGCATAAGATTAGGGAGGTGCCTCTCCAGATACGATAGCACTTACTGGGATTACATAGATCCTAATGAAGCTTTCAATTTCATATATAACATTCCAAAAACAAAATCACGTTTAGCTCGCCAAAGCCTCCTCAACATAGTGGAAGGCTGTAGGGAAAATGTGGGTGAAACTCGAACTTTATATTCAGAAGGATCATAGTCAAGCATTACTCCTCCCTTGCCCTTCAGTAAACAAAAGGCCACTCTTGTCTTCTTTAATCTTTTGTCTTTTTGTTCGCCATCACACTATTCATATGTATGCGTCATTTTAATATTGACAAAATTATTAAGGAAAAAATTCTTGGCCGCATTGTGTTCTCTGACCTGGGGTGCTTAATCTTGTAGCCTTCATCGTCTTTCCATACGACATCATCAGCAGCACCAACCTCATTATGAAGTGAGCTGTCAATATCTGTCCATGAGTGACTTAGTATCTCGCCTTTATTTAGTGGTTTGTGATTGATTATTTGCTTTGAATGTTATGTCACTGACTGCATAAATTTATGCTGAATGATGATTGAAGGTGAGAAGATAATCTGGACAGCAGCCGGATTCTAACCAACGACCACCGTTGGCTGTTCTTCCGCTTGACTTCCGACCTTTCCGTCGCTTATCATTTTTCTTATTGGTTGGGAGGTTGGGTCTCCGTTCATAAATCTATTGATTGCTAGCTGACTGACCTGAAAGCCAAGCTTCTACGAATTCCCTGATATTCTTTGTGTTTCCCTCCTCCGGCCAGGATTTCTACATTGTCAAAATTGAATTCACGTCCAAAGTTATCCACATGTATTTAAATGAGAAATGGCCAACGATAGAAAGGTCAGAAGTCAAGCGGAAGAACAGCCAACAGGAAAACCTGTCCATTCAATGATACAACATTCAAAGGAAAAAACCAATCTCAAACCACTAAGTCAGGGTAAGCTACTAAATCACTCATGGAGAGATATTGACTGCTCACTACTTAGTGAGGTTCTACTGACGAGTTCATCTAGAAAGCCGACAGAAGCTCCACGATTAAACAGTCTAACTCAAGAACATAATACAACCAAGACCATCCATCTGAGTGACAAATATTCTTCACCGTTTTAAAAAGAAATATTAGTTTTCTTACAGTCCCTAAGTCTAACTCCATTTTGAAAATGCAATTGCTCCTAACGGCTTGACTTCACTCTGTACAAATACATTTTTACTTCTTAAAACCTGATGAAAATCTGTTGAAAAGATTATTCTTCTTTCAAACCATTGCCTTTTATCAGTGTTACGCGAGTCTTTGGATGAATGAAGCCTTACAATTCAATCAACCATGATCACCATCCATATGTTTGTGACTGCTATTTTTGCACCAAGATAAGCACTTTAAACTGTAATGTGTATTTAATTTTCTTTAGTGAAAGCATCTACTGCTTTGAAACTAAATTATTACGCGACCACTTACTTCTATAATGCCTCTCCCTCTTCATGGAATTTCTGAAATAGCATCTTGAATAGGGAAGGAACAGAAGAAAAAGAAGAATAACGTGGAACCATATTAGTTTGTCTATTAGAAATGCCGAACACTGAAACAGCATACCCTACTGTACAACGTTTCGAAAACAATTTATTGACCATATTCGTAACAGGTAA